ATTGAATGTAAAGATCGATTTCTTTTGTATGTCTAATACACTCATCGATCTCATTTGTATATCTAAGATATACTAGGTATGTAAATTAAATCAGTGCTTTTACATTTACTTGGTCTTAAATAATATTTTGAATTTAAAAAAATTTTTTTACCGCCATAATATAGTTTTGGAAGGACGTTATTTATATTTATAAAATGCTATGTGACTCATCTGTATTTTTGAGATCAATATGATGTCAAAAATCAATTGTGTTCAAGACGGCTGCTGACAAGATACATGCCCGCTAACAATAAAATAATTAATTGCTTTGCGCTCGACCTACATCATAATATTTCGTATTTCTACCACGGAAAGAACCTCCAAGGCAAATTAACTGAAAAATAAAACCAGAGTTAATTTGACAATTATATCCGCAATGACAAGCTGAATTAGACTTAAAGAAATTATTATTATGTTTAAATCACAAAGAGGTTTTGAAAAAAAAAATAATATCATATTTATAGCCGATATTAGTAATTAACTATAATACTTTTTTATATATAACACTTTTTTATATAAAATGTGTGGGAATCTTTGGAATAGTGTCAGTTATGTTGTATATATAGTTATTTTTAGAAGGAACACCTAACAGCGAAGTATTATGTACGAGGGCAGTCTGAAAAGTTCTCGGCCTAACAATGAAAGAAATTTTTTTGCCGTGAAATATGTTTTATTTTTTAATATAATTTCCTGAAACTTCAATACATTTATTCCAGCGCTTTTTCCAATAATTCAATACCATCATTAAAATGTGATTCCGGAAGGTTCTTTTCGCTCTGGTGTATAGTGGTGGATCCAAGTTTCATCAACAGTTATGAAACGACGTTTGAAATCTATTTTATTTTGCTTAAAACGATCCAAACACGCTTGAGAAATGCGCATTCGAATGCGTTTTTGGCCAATTATTAGCAAATGCGGCACCCATTTTGCACAAAGCTTTTTCAGCTGGTGCTACTACTCGAATGATTTGACAGATCGAATAAAATTTTACATGGGTCTATATCAGGGATGCCACTTTCCAATACAATTATAGTTTGTCAGTTTCTAATGCCATGTATGTGTCAGGTCGAGAACTTTTCAGACTGCCTATGTATATGATGTTACAATGTATGTTATTATATTTACAATTTGTCCAAATATTTTTTAATAGCTAGTTGGAATTTATCCTGTGTGATCATATGCTCTATCATAAAAAGAGTAAAACCTATAAGCAAAACAGTATAATGAAGGGTAATAAGTTTATTTGATTTAAATAGAGTAAGGATCAAGTTTCATAATTTATATGATGTTCTCTCCCAAGGATAAATGAATATTTTCTTTTTTAAATCTCCAGTTAAACACTAATCTTTATTATAATACCAACGAGAACAGAGGACAACATCAATCTCATCCGCGGCTCGTTCATAATATTCGGAAAGAGCTCTCATCCGACAGTTAGTTTCATAGTGAAAAGTTGACTGAAGGATTTGGATTGTATAGAGATCCATTAATTGTGAACCGTTAAAAATCTAGAATAAATTATTCTGATACAACTAAAATGTAGACTGGTGCACGTATTAACATTACGCAAATATATTCCATATTCCAAAAAACATAAATATGTATTGACTATATTACTGTAATATAACGAAATATATAGCATGTTACGTAATATAACCAGTTGCAAGCAAGTTACAAAAGTATAAGTTACATATTAGTAAATATATAAATTACAATACATGTTAGATGTAATATTCCACTCATACAAAATTGCAATTGCAGTTATGTAACATAAATGTAACATATTATGAAAATGTCACAGGACTGTTACATGTTACTGTGTATAACGAAACCGTAATTTATATTATACAATAGTTATTATCCAGCACAATATAACATAGTAACAAAGTTATATAACAAAGTAACAGTTACGTAACATACTATATAATTTAGCTGACATTGTAACATCGATCGAACTTTGTGTTTACTGGGTAGATTTCAGGCAAATGTTATATGACTGGAATATAAATTATATAGTTCCCAATAATTATTTTTGTACATAGTGTTTGACGATAACCCTTCCCAGTCAGAACCACAACGTACTCAAGGTTGATTCGACGTCAATAAGAGTTAAATTAACGTTGATTCAACGGTTCATCGACTATTTTAACGTCAAATCAATGTTGAATCAACATTATAGTTCTGACTAGGTTACATGCATCAAGCACACAAAATCCAATAATTTGTCATATTATTAGTTACTTTTACATTACATAGCAGTATTTTACATTTAATGAGGTTTGTACACGATTGAAAAGCGATTAAAACAATTTAAATATGTTTACGACACCAATCATTTGCCTTTAAATTCAAAAGTATCTCGCTCTCTAGTATAATGCTGACAGATAAATATCAACCTTGTCCATGATATAATGGCCGTAAAGTTTCGATAGTGATTCGTCTAACTACAGGTCCTCCCACCAAAACTAAGTAACCACTGCTATAAACGGCTGACGTGCCATTTGGTGCGAAATTATTTCGCCGATATGAACCTTGCGCCCAGGGAAATTAAAATTTTCATCATATAGAACATCCTTTTCACTATAAATTATGAATCAATATGATCAGTATGATGTAGATATTAAAGTGCACACATATAATTTAACTCCTTTATAAACCACACAAACGTATAAAATTAATTTAAAAGTTCCAACAACGAAACTCATTAAGCACAGAATAATAATATCATGACATAAATTTTATCGTTTTCTACCGCGCAATATATTATAACAATTATGTATTATATACAACATATCCAGTCAGAACCACAACGTTGATTCGATGTCGATGAAGGTTGAATTAACGTTGAATCAACGTTAATTTGGTACATCGATTCTTTCAACGTCAAATCAAACATTATGGTTTTGACTGGTATGTTGAAACGCAGTTACATTATTGAGCGGGGAAATAAAATATTGATGTGATGTTAGTATTACTCGCGCGATACTTAATAGATGCACAGCCTGATAAGAAATTTGTGTGTATTGTGACCAACAATCTAGGTTAATCAAAGTAGATTTATATCTATGCTATGATATCGTCGGTGCCATTATGGTATCTCTGGATTGACAGTGTTTAGGCTTTTTCAAAACTTCCCAACAAACGAAATATTGCACATAACATACCTGTTAATAATTGTAATTTCCTGTTCGACAATATAATCGTTATATAAGACATGCGCTATATAACAGTTATATTGTTATTACAATTAACAGGTACGTTATTTGTTACATTATATTTGCTGGGTTATATCAGCACTCGAATTGTGTGTATTATGTACTTGTATATCATAAGACCAAAACATCCCATTGAGTTTATTGTATTATTTGGAAAGAATATGTGATCCCTTTTTGGTAATACATCGGTTAAATACGTAATGGACGTCAAATACGAATTGACATCTGGTATTGTTCTCATTGCATCTCGTAGCATCTCCTTTTGCGACATGTGCCAAATAAAGTCAGTCTCAGATATTTTACTCATTGTAAGTCTGACGTTGTCTTCAAGCAGAGCAATAAATACGTTGGAAGGAGACATCATTAAAGCGTATCATTAAAATATGTCTAGCATGAACTCGAATCACAGTTTCCTGTGGATATTGTGGGCATATTCGAAAAGGTTCTAAATTTCTTGAGATATTTTACAGATATGTTGAAAATTGCCCTTAATTCGAGCTCGTCCCAACATGGAAACACTCTCCGAGCCATGTTACTTTGAATGATAATTAACCTATAGGATAATAGGAAATATTATTGTAAACATAAAATTTTTAACCATTCTATAATGTACCGCGGGAATGCCGTGAGAAGAATTTTATACATATGTGGGCATTTATACAAATATGATGCATGGAAAAAATCGAATAAATTAGTGTATGTCGCGATGGTAGTGGGTGGAAGTGAATGAAGTTGGCACCACATTTTTCGAAAATTACATTTTTGAAAGTTGTTCTAAATTATTCTAATCTTGTTCCACATTGCTCCAAAACTATATTATTTTATTTCAACTGATTCGGCAGTAAAACGAAAAAAACATATAAGCTTATACCATTTTGCGATATACGCAATAATTATTGAGTTATTAATTATAGAAATCTGACGAGTGAGCGCGCAATAGGCTCGCATAAAATTGTACGAAAGTTTATTTATACATATGTCAATACGGAAAAAGAGATTGGTATATGCAAATGTAAACTATATAAATGCTTGTTTTTGCAATTATGATTGTTTTTAATTGGCTTACATACCGACGTAGAGATTATCGATAAATATTCTGTCGATAAATATTTATCAAAAAAGTGTCAAATTAATCGTTTTAACCTTTGATTTCTTCTTATGATAACTGCATAAATCAGCATAACCAGCATAACATTTGAATCAATAGAAAGGAATGTTTACGTACAATCCCACACAGCACCAAGTCGACTATCAGTTGACTGTCAGTCGGCAGAAGAAGTCTAAAGTCGACTTTAAAGTCAGACTGGGTGCCAATTTGTAGTCGACTAACAGTCAACAAATGACTCGACTATAGTCGGCCATAAATCAACCAATAAGTCGACTTAGAAGTCGACTTTTAGGCGACTATAAGTCAACTTTCAGTCAATGTTATGGCGATTATAAGTCGACTTTTAGTCAATTTGACGTCATCTATATTACTACTAAATTTTTATTTTAGTTGTGATATTTCTCAAGACTATCAATTTAATTTTATTACACCTTAATTGCATAATATTGTTATATATAATGCAATTAAAGAATAATAAAATTAAATTGATTAAGTCTTTCGAAATATTACATTTAATTTAAATGATAATTATAAGGGATATATAATAATTAATAAAACAATTTACAAAGGACAGTATATTTATTTTTTCAATATAGCTCTCATCCTATCACCAGACCGTCGCAACCATTCTTGTATGCATATTCTACTTCGTTGATTGTTGTATTATGCATCTTTAAAATAATAGCTACAAAGATAATAACATAGTCTATATATGATATAAACATTTTATGACATGAAATTGCTCATCTATATCAAAATTAATAACAGGAAACATAGAATACTAAAGCCGGTTTAGTAACAACCGTAGTTAATGGATTCTTGCATTTAATTGGAAAATATTTTTAGATTTAAAAGATTAGATTTATACCAATTAGATAGAAAATTTGCAAACTACGATTGTTACTAAACCAGCTTTAAGTTGCCATGTAAACATACTCATAGTTCCCTAAACGATCTGAATATATTGTAGAAAAATTAATCTTTCTCCTATAATATATTCAGTATTATATACATTAGGTTTGTTCTTTGTAGCTAAACTAGCAATCGTTACATTTGAAATGAAACAGAGATATATTTGAAATTTCTCGAGTGAGAAAGAAAATTTTATAAGATGCTTATTAAAATTTTATAAAACAAACCTCATAAAAATTTACAGATTTTTCAGGTATTTCATTTTTTATTTACAAAAGACGAAACAGTTCGAGCATTCATTAACATCTTTTTAAAAAATACCACTCGAGCGGACTCTGTCACTTAAGAGCAACAGTTCTAGCACTCTCTGGTGCAACCAGGGTAGACTGAATTTTCAAAAGAAAATTTTAGAAAATCAGCTTCCTACATTTTTCCAGGTAGTAACCGTCCTGTTCTAGTAGCTCCTATCCACAGGACGTGGCAACGCTTGTCGTGCAGCGGAAGTTCGTGCGATAACCAATGAACGTGCCGCTTTTTCGTAAGAGTTAGAAAGTTATTACGAAAAGTAGCATATTGTTTGGCTATCGCACGAATTTCCGCCGTGTGGTAAGTGTTGCCGCGTCCTGTGGGCAGGAGCCATTAGTATATTTCTACGACAAAGAATAATAAAGGCAAAAAATTGCAGACAGCACAATGTCCGAAAGTGGGACATAAGACGTCTTTAAAACGTCTTTTAGACATATTAAAGACGTCTTATGTTCCGTTTTTGGACATTAGTGCTGTCTGCGAATATTGAGTAACATTTAATACCAATTATTGACTCCGAAAGTTTCGATTTTTTTAAAGATAACTTTTTTTTGTCCTGTCCACGTATATGCCTGCGCAACTTCGTAGCCAATAGTTTGCGACATTATATGTCTTACATTTTTGGCTACAGTTTCTCCGCCTATTTGTGACATTTTCTCAATCTGTAATAAATATATTTCAAATCATATGATATATATTCAAAAGGTTTCATTTCATGTACAGCAATTAAAATGCATATTTGTGTTAATAATTAGCAAATAATATACGCAACTAATATACGTACAAATTGTCGCCGAACGTTATCATCCTTCAAAAGGTTATTGAAATTTTCTACTTCTTCCACCGTATTGAGAGGAAAATTTGGTAATAAAGAGAAATCAATTTGTCGTTGTACATTATGTTGTACTTCTTTTGAATTTTCCAGAAAATGAATAATCCGGTTGAGTTTACGTTCAAGTGTCATAAATTTTGAATAATATCCTCGCCGACATTTTTCTAAACAACAAAGATAAAAGAATCAAGTGATTAACATTATTGAATTAAACTATTATAATAATTCATAATAATCTTTTGTTCTGCATTATATTTACTAGTGATGTAAATAAAATAAAATTTACCACAACAAGATGTGTGCTCTGAATCTATCGATTGCTTTTCTAAATTTTCTTTATTGTTTATATTATTTCCAGGTGAATTTAGTCCACGCATGTCGTGTATTTCACGAATTGAAGTGCTTGTAGAAGGGTAATTGTAGAAGGGTAATTTCTTGTATCTAAAAATATTGTTAACCGAGCTGTTAAATCTTCTGTGCAATTTTGCAAATATATTGTTTATATTGTCATTAGTCAATCATTGTATTGGGTGAGTGCAAAAGTTCGTGCGGAGTTTCAATAGATGGAGTTATAAACGTCGTAAAGTGTTGTCATTAATACTTCCATCTACATATTATATAACGTTGGAAAGGTGACGTCTTCAGCTGTTATTAAAAAAAAAATCATTTGTTTTCATACAAACTGCTTCGAGAAATATCACTTTAAAAATGAGTATCGATAAGGTGCATTTACGGCATGTTATGTTTTACGAGTTTCGGAAGGGAATAAACGTTGCCGCAGCCGTAAAAAACATTCAGGATGTTTATCAGGATGAAGCACCAGCTAAACGAACTGTGGAAAAATGGTTTGCTAAATTTCGGCGCGGAGAATTTAACCTTGAAAACGAGCCACGCTCTGGTCGACCTTCTGACATTGATAACGATGTTTTGCGTACTTTAGTGCTCAATAATCCGCGAATTTCAACAGAAGAAGTTGCTACAGCACTAAACGTTGACCGATCAACCGCTTTTCGGCGTTTAAAAAAGATGGGATTCGATTTGAAGCTCGATATATGGGTGCCCCATTTGCTGACCGAGAAGAACAAAATCAAGCGAATTTCTACAGCCGTTTCTTTACTCGGGCGGCTCAATAACGAGTCGTTTTTGGATCGACTAGTGACGGGCGATGAGAAATGGGTCCTCTACAACAATGTTCAGCGCAAACGGACATGGAAACAATCAGGTGAGCATGGTGACGCAATGCCAAAGGCCAGTTTGCACCCGATGAAGGTGATGCTCTCTGTTTGGTGGGATTGCAAGGGCATAATCTATTTCGAGCTTCTCCCCGCTGGCGAAACGATTGATTCGGACAAGTACTGTCGCCAATTAACCAATCTGAATCGAGAAATAAAAGAGAAACGTCCGATTTTGTCAAATCGCAAGGGAGTCGTCTTTCATCACGACAACGCCAGACTACACGTTTCGAAAAAGGCGCTGCGCAAACTGAAGAGCCTGAAATGGGATGCCTTAACGCATCCACCGTATTCTCCTGATATCGCACCATCTGACTATCACTTGTTCCGGTCATTGCAAAATTATTTAAATGGAAAAAACTTTGACCCTTTGGAGGCCTTAAAAAACAGCGTCTCTTCGTTCTTCGAATCTAAACCGCGCAGTTTTTATGATCAAGGAATCCGTATGCTGCCAGAACGTTGGGAAAAGATTATAGAAAACGATGGAGAATATATCATTGATTGAATAAAGATTTTTGTTTGCCTAATCACTGTGTGACTTTTACTCACAAACTCCGCACGAACTTTTGCACTCACCCAATATTATGAATATGAAATTAATGAAAGAAAAATAAATTTCAAGCATGCCATGTAATATTGCTGAAAAACTTGCTTCCTCTTTTTTTTTATTCACATTTTTAACTGCTTGCGGCACTTCTGTAAAGCAGTATGAACGATATAAAGTTATTTATGGACATTCTCATTCATTATTAAATTTATAACGTAATAACATATTAAAACATACCTTTTGAAGTTTCTTTTTTTGCTTATGATTATCGTGTGTCATTGTATTTTGCATTTCTGAAAGATATGAAAAAAATATGTAAGGTCTTTATATTTAACATTAATTTTTATATACAACTTCTCTGATCAATATAAAATAGCAATTAGTATAATACCTGTATTGCAATATTGCTCTTTATGATAAGAATCTTTGTCATAGAAATCCGATGAATCCGATAGTTTTTCTTGTATTGATACATCTAAGCAACTGTCGAAGATTTGGTCGAAAGTATTTGAAGGCTTATTATTTAATGTAGTGGACTCGCATGCTATACAAACACATAAATACATATATATACACAGTCATATAATTAAAATATAATTGATATCATTTCAAGGTGTTTACTTGGAAATGTTCTGCAAATATTTTATAAGATTTTATAAATTTCTTAACATAATAAACACCTTGCATTCATACAGGATGTTTGGTAATTTGTTAAGCAGACGCCATGTAAAGGTAGATTAGGTCAAACTCAAAAAAATTCCTCTACCATTTTGGGAATCAATAGTAAAAATAAAATAAAATAAAAATAAAAAGTAAAATTTTAGGTTATTTATAAAAAAATTCACATTATTGATCACGCGCCATACAGTAGATGAACTGTGGTAGCAATATCTGCCACTGTGTGCTTGTATTAGATAAAAATAAGTAAAAACAGTCTTCTATCATTTTGCAAATAATCATGTACATTTTTAGTTATTAATTAAAGAAAATTGATGCATAATTCTGCACAGTCATATACCAATCTTTTTTTTATTAATAACTAAAAATCTACATGATTATTTGCAAAATTAGGATTTTATTTTTCAGCTTTGTCTAATATATAAGCACATAGTGACAGATGTTATTATCATACTTTATTTACCATATTGCACGTTATCATTAACGAATCTTCTTTGATTAATAACTCAAAATATTACATGGTTGTTCGTAAAATAATAAGAGGATTTTTGGTTCATTTTGACCTTATCTACTTATATACGGCGACTGTTTAGTGAGTTACCGGACACTATGTGTTGTATTATGTACAAAGATTAATGATAAACCTGATTGATGATTGGTGATTGTCGGCAATTTATTAATCGGTTCGCTTAATGAATTGGATACATATCCGCTTTCTATTGATGGAATGTAATTTGAGGGCATTGTAATTTTGCTCTTTTTTGGTTCATCTAGAAATATCCATAATTGTTAACTTTTGTATTATCATTTTTATATATCGCATTTATTATACACATATGTCCTATAAATACCTTCGCTACTCGATGTGTCGCCATAGAACTTTCGTTTTTTAATAAGCCTCTTTTTCAAAGCATTTTCTGTTCGTGTCTGTAATATAATATTATCGTCTGACGCAGACATATCGCTTATTGCTTTTTCTACCAACCGTGCACTTTGATACGTTCCTGTAATATATTTTTAAATATTATTTTTTTTTTCAGATTTTTATGTAAGATATAAAAATATGAAACGAACCATAAGGACCAAAACTTTTGTGATATGTGAATTCATCCCAATCAGCACATGGTAACCATTTTTTCATACAGGCTTGAGTAAGCTGTTTGCTTTTTTTCGGCATTTGAAATGTACATTGTTCAAAATCTACCCATGTTGTTGGTACTGTTATGCAGTATGTATCATACAGCAGTACGTCATTCTGAAACATTATATATATACTTACACACATATATAAGGTAACTTAGGATAAGATGCCTACTTTCTACTTACTTTTTGTAACATAAGGGAATGTTATTGAGTTATCAATTTATTTAATATAAAATTAGTATTTATATGTAACGTAATATTAACAGTTGAGCAGTATTTTTATTTTAACGACGAATGTAATAACGGCATGCAACACCATGAAGTTCTGTTTTTAAATGGAAGTTGAACGGCTTTATTCATGATTTCTGTAATTGGCCACATCATCAAGTCTGATAAATTTTGAACTACATATATGTCCATATTTCGTGACTCGCAAGGATAGAATGGCAAATTATTTTTTGTCAACAATTTTCTTCCGATAATGACATCTGTTTCTTTTTCGTTGTAACAAATATGTTCAATAGCAACAATTGTTTTATCTTTCAGATAACAACAGTTATTTGGTTTCTTGTCTGTCAATATAAAGTCGCTGAATTGAATCATACGATAAGCATTGGTACAATTCATTGGCAGAACTTTTAAACATTTCTTTTTCAATATAGGTATACTATATTTGTTACAATCATTTTGTATAACTTCATTATAATTTTCTGAAATCCTTTTATATAACTGTTGTAGTGGTTTATCTGCTTTTCTAAGTATTTTTTTTATTGATTGCAAGTAGTTTTCGAAAGGAAAAGCAGAAAAATCATCCAATGGTCCAAACATCAGTACGTCTTCATTTATGTGAATTAAATTGTGTACATTATAAATTATAGTATCATAGCCATACAACTGTTTAAATATTTCTACAAATTGAATTAGTAGATCTCTGCTATATCGGTTGTTACGAAAGCAATCCACTGGATGACATAATATCCGCATTGAACAATGTAATGCATTGAAGTGTAGTAAATTATTTTCTGGCAAAATACACTCAACCGCAAAAAACCCGGTACACTAAAAATTTGGGAAAAAATTACAAAATTTCAAATGATCATAACTTGGCAAATAATGAAGATACAAATATGCGCAGAAATGCAAAATGAAGCTTGAAACGTCCTCTTTAAGAATATCTGAATGGCAATTATGCTCGGCCATTTTTTTCAAAATGACGGATGATAAAGTGAGAGGATGCAAAATTGATAATCAAAGGTCTGCGTTTGCGATGGTGCATGGTGTGCATCAGGTATCGCAGCGTAATGGGACCAAATGCACATGAAAGTATAGAGTGTTATCTTTAAAATGCTACTTTACCGAGCTCGATGTGATCATTTTTCACTGAGTTGTTCCAAATTTTGCTAAAAATGCGGTTTTCTTGTTAAATTTGCATAATTCAGTGAATAAGTATCGCATCAAGCTCTATAACGAAGTATTTTAAAGAAAACATTCTATACTTTTAGGTACTTTTCGTCCCATTGAGCTGCGACACTTACTTTGCTCCATGCGCCGTCGCACGCTCGAACCTTTTTTTAGCAACATTTCATGTTCTCCTTTTTATCACCCGCCATTTTGAAAAAATATCGTTGCGCACAATTTCGATAGATCTTTCGAAAAGTACGGTTTCAAAGCTTTCAAACCGTTTTTGAAATTTACTGCTAGGATATTTAGGTGTCGAGATATTCAATTTCGAATTTGCAACAAATGTCGATTCAGCGAGGCTTAAGGGGCTAAGAGGCTCTGCGGTTCGTTTGGCTCTTTCATAATTTCAATAGCCGCGTTCATTATTCTCTATATAATAATTTACACAATTTTGCGAATTGGAAATTTAATTTTTATCAAAAGTTATCATTCTTTACCTTTCAGTTACGCATGATCACTGTGGTATACACTTTAGTTCGCGAAGCTGTCCCTAGTTCTCTACCTTCTCCGTACGATTGGCCATTATGGTACACAGCTTGAATATGCTGTTCAGGATCGCACCTGAGTTCGCGGTGACCCGGCGCGCGGGATGCCGAGTCGCTGGACGCCACCTGAACGTCGAAATTCCCTGGTGCTCCTAGTCCACGGAGCCGCCGCGACGCGGCGATCTGGGTTGTCGCGCGCGCGAGCCCCTCGGCTCGCACGCGAGTTCGAGCTGCCCAGGGCATATAAGAGTGCCCGCGGAGACGATCAGAGATTGCCTTCGTACAGCTTTTGACCTTCGTACGGTCCACCGCCGATAGTGGCACTATCTCTTGTACGCTGGACTTCGCGAGTTTGTCAGTACGCCGGGCTTACGTTCTGGCTTGACTGAGATTCTGTCGGTGCGCCGGGCTTTAACGCCTGGCTTGACTGGATTTTTTTTAAATGTATATGCCAAGACAATAAACAAAGACAAACAATTTTCCTTTTCCGAACGTGTTCACTCCGATAAGCGCTGCCTCGTGCGACTTTTCTTTTTCCGTGATCTTTTCCTTTCGAGGCGCGTTGCTTCGTTCAACTTCATCAATTTAAACCATAATTGATTGTTTCGCATCGAAATTATTGCGTCGATTATGGCGACGATAAATCCTGAAAAGGCTGCTCAAGTTATTGCTTTAATTGAAGATGGCAGAAGTCGAAGGTACGTTGCTCAGGCACTTGATTTATCAGTGTCAACTGTGCAACGTGCTTATGCCAGGTACTTACAAACCAATTCTTTCCATAGAAGGCCTGGTTCGGGACGTCCTCGATGTACCAATCACAATGATGACGATTTATTGTTTCAAATTCGTTAAGAGACAGACATCGAACATCTGTTCAAATTAGAAACAATTTAAGGGATGTCCGCAACATTAATATATCCGTTAACACCGTTCGGAGAAAATTAAAGGAACAAAATCTGCTTTCGCGCAGGCCAGCAGGTGTACCTTTGCTTAAATGTCACCATCGCGTAGCTCGACTCAATTTTGCAGTTGAGCATAGAGACTGGACTTACGCAGACTGGAGCAAAGTACTCTTTAGCGATGAATCTCGTTTTTGTGTCTATTCTCCAGATGGACGAGAACGAGTTTATCGTCATGGTGGAGAACGATTTGCAGACTGTACGGTAAGTGAGAGGCATAGCTACAATGGAGGCTCTGTAATGATTTGGGCAGGAATTTCAGCTAATGCTCATACAGATCTGCACTTTTTTGACAAGAATATGAACGCAGATGTATACGTGGAAGACATACTCATTCCGTATGTTGTTCCGTACGCACCCTTCATCAGAGAGAACTTCTTGTTTATGCAAGACAATGCTCGACCACACACTGCGAGAAGAGTGCTTGATTTCTTCGATGAAGTTGGCATAAATCGATTGGCCAGCAAATAGTCCAGATTTAAATCCAATGGAACACTTATGGGACAACCTCGGCAGGAAAGTACGAAATCACGTATCTGCTGCTCAGTCACTGCGAGAACTGCGAATAATTCTCGAAAACGAATGGAATACAATTACGCAGGATGAAATTAAAAGACTAATAAGGAGTATGCCTGATCGTATGAATAAGGTAATACGCGCACGAGGCAGTCATACCCACTATTAGTACACACACACCACACACACAGCAGAGAGGGTTTGGAGTCATTAATTACTGCAGGAGTGACGAACTGCGGGGTCCTTATCTCTGCTGTAACACCACACACACACACACCACAAGAAGGGTGTGAAATCTTGAAATACTGTGGAGCTGACGAACCACGGGGTCCTTATCCTTGTGGTATACAAACACACACACACACACTACATACAATGGGACTTTTCCTACCAGTAAAACTCCGTGCGGTTTATATTGGGAAGACTTACAACCATAATTTGAGCTAATGACAGCGGTATCTTAAAACGCAATTCATCTTTATTACGTAATATCGATTACGCAAAATGAAGAACCTAAATTGAATTTTACTTTCATTTCCCTGGCTTTCAAAATAATAAATGCAAATCATTGAATATATTGTGCTGGTTATGTAAATTATTATATAGAGAAACATGAACACAGCTATTGAAATTATGAAAGAGCCAAACGAACCGCAGAGCCTCTTAGCCCCTTAAGCCTCGCTGAATCGACATTTATTGCAAATTCGAAATTGAATATCTCGACACCTAAATATCCTAGCAGCAAATTTCAAAAACGGTTTGAAAGCTTTGAAACCGTACTTTTCGAAAGATCTATCGAAATTGTGCGCAACGATATTTTTTCAAAATGGCGGGTGATAAAAAGGAGAACATGAAATGTTGCTAAAAAAAGGTTCGAGCGTGCGACGGCGCATGGAGCAAAGTAAGTGTCGCAGCTCAATGGGACGAAAAGTACCTAAAAGTATAGAATGTTTTCTTTAAAATACTTCGTTATAGAGCTTGATGCGATACTTATTCACTGAATTATGCAAATTTAACAAGAAAACCGCATTTTTAGCAAAATTTGGAACAACTCAGTGAAAAATGATCACATCGAGCTCGGTAAAGTAGGATTTTAAAGATAACACTCTATACTTTCATGTGCATTTGGTCCCATTACGCTGCGATACCTGATGCACACCATGCACCATCGCAAACACGGACCTTTGATTATCAATTTTGCATCCTCTCACTTTATCATCCGCCATTTTGAAAAAAATGGCCGAGCATAATTGCCATTCAGATATTCTTAAAGAGGACGTTTCAAGCTTCATTTTGCATTTCTGCGCATATTTGTATCTTCATTATTTACCAAGTTATGATCATTTGAAATTTTGTAATTTTTTCCCAAATTTTTAGTGTACCGGGTTTTTTGCGTTTGAATGTATAACACAAAATTAAAAAGATATAAACTAGGTATACTAACATGTTTATTGTAAGACATTATTATGTATATGTGTGAATGAATTTTATATTATCGTTTAAATGTTATCAAATATGATTTCACCTGTTTAACGCATAATATAATTTAATAATAAATTATAAAATTTAAGATTGACAATTATTAGGTGTACAAATGAATAATCCAAATTATTTTAAGCAGTTATGAAATCAATTTTAAATTGAATAGATTTTCCCGCTCTTTTCTGATTACGCAATGTTGACAT